AGGATTAGCTATAGGTACGTCAAAATAATGAAGCGTATTGATAATTATTATTACAATAATTAGGCATCTATCGAAGTAACAATAATTGATTTTCTTAATTGCTTTAATCCAATCAATTCATGCTGTTAACTTATATTCATAATTCTTGGTGACTAATATAATATATATTATGTATATCCCAGAATACTAACATACAATAATATACATTATTATAATTTAAAATATCAATATTTTCATTGCAATAGATTCATATCCATATAGCATATGAAAATAATTAATGTAATTATTACAATGTATTAATTATTAAAAGACACTATTCAACCAAATAGATAATACAAATGATCAATAAACATAAATTTGTTTTTATTTTAAAAATTATGTTTGTATGTTTCACTATAATTATTTAATTTAAATTTTGGATATTATTCCGAACACAAATATTTTTTTTTAAATTTTACAAATGTATTTTAAAATGAATTTAAATTTAAATTTAAAAAAAAAAAATGTTACACACCTATAAGCAGCACATCACTATTCTTGTTCAAAAAATTTGTATGTAAAAAATCGTCATTAATGCAAGTAAGCATTAATAAAACATAAATAAATTAAAATCCGAGGTTATACACAAAAATAAAATCTTAGCACAAAATATATTAATATTTCGGTAATTATTTTAACATTTCATTACGACTTTATAAAATGTATCCATAAAAATCTGATGTTTAAGCGAAATTGTTTTTTGTCTCAACCACCTAAAACTATTTGTTTTAAATGTAATTAAGTATGTTTTACTTTATTATTATAATACAAATATATAAAATTTCGCTTAATCAAAAATTATTTTTTGTATTAATTTATAGGAAAAATATTTGTATTTATTATGTATCAATCATTTGAATAAAATATGTTGGTAAATTGTAAAACGTAGAATTCCGTACTAATACTGCTGTAATTCTAGTGCACCTGGGTTTGAGCATATAATATTTATTTTATTTATTATTTTTTTATTACTTTTTTTTTTTTTGACATTAAAGTAACGAGTCCAGGTCAGTGGAGTCAGGTGGTACAACCATCTAGTACATAATATATATCTATAAATCATAGTTGATCGTGTTTGGTCATGGACACTCAACTGGTAAAATTGTAGTAAAAGTTTAATCCACTCGTGGCTGATAGGATACAGCAGCATATCCATGAATGTGTTGTGTGTTATCATTAAAATGAATAAAAATAACATATGTCATAATACTATGAAAATTATGAAAAACGGCCAACGGTGTACTTAAATTGAAATTCAGGACGTCGTTCTACGAAAATGCAGTATTATTGCAGAGGAAAAAGGACAAACGTGTCATCTACTCTAATCGGTATAAATATACTTGAAAAGCCATAGCTATAGTGGTAAAAAAAAAAACCTCCATGTGGAGAAATATAAAATATACCTAAGTTGTACGCTTTTATGTTGAAAGAAGATCGTTTCATGTTACTCGTAATTTTCGTTTGGTCTGACTTTCCATAGTAATAATATCTTATTCGTCGGATGGCCGACTCCTTCAAAATTCGTATTTACTGTGTCGTCTCGCATCGGCGAGAACTGACGCCTCATAATTGACAAGGTTAAAAAAAAACTTTTTTGAAAAATAATGTGATTGCGTAAAAATTATTTTTCAGTTTCAACTCCATGAAATGTTTTTAACCAACAACTCTCCAAGTGGCGATTTGGATTATACCGTCATCGGCCATTAATCAAACCCGTTAGGAATATATTTATTTAGGACCGACAGAGGCTAACATGATTAAAATCCGTGACTAATTTGTACGGTAAAAAATAAAATGAAATAAAAAACCGTTCCTATGGAATTTACTTCCGTCCAAAGCGCCATATCGTACCCACGGCGGTGTAATACGCCCTCCTTCTCACCGCCAATCCACCATCCCATCCAAGTATACAATGCATTTCTCTATTTCGCTCGTTTAGCCCTTTTTAAACGGTCCAGTTGGGAATAGCATCACGTACAGTCATACAGGAGGGCTGTATAGTATTAAAGTAGTGCTGATAAAACTCTTCGTACACATCTCATCGTTTCACTGATAAGGGTTGTAAAAAAAAAACGCACATAAATTCAATTTAATTTACTATATATAAATTATATAACTTTTTCTTTTGTTTTATCCTTTGTTGGGGAAAAAAAATTACACAAATACTGCATATTCGTCCGTCATGACTACCAATACCTATACTGTATACCTATATACTTACATTTTATTATGACATTATTTTTAATAATATTATGAATTATAATACATAAAATAGATAAAAATATAGATTATAAAAAAACATATTTTAACATATCGAAAAATATCACTATGTAGATAATCAACTGATTCATGCAAGTTTATACTAGACAATTCATATTGTACGGTGTTTTAATATGATAATCATGTTTTTTTTTTCAATATCAATGAAAAAATTAAATCGACTTGGCAGATTCAATAGTCGATTAGTTGTCATTTACGTGCGGAGCCTTAAATTATAGATACTTTATTATAGCTATGATATGTTATACATTTTTTAAAGAATACTACTTACGGTTTGGAGCCGTTCTATTTTAAATTCGTGCACTGATGATAAAGTTAAACTAATACGCCCGAAACTCGATAAGAATACGTTTACAGTATACACAGAGCATAATAAACGATAAGCCTTGCTTCAGCACACGTTGCTATAATTCACAAGTGAAATCGAAATGAATCTACAATATATCGAAATCGTGATAGCACAAAACAAATAAATATTTGTAGAAAATATTCTAAATTAAAAACGAACGAGACGAACAAAACTGTCGAATAAATGTAACGGTCATAATAATATATATATATATATATATATATATATTGAATAAAATCTGTCATAAATAAATACATATAATAGTCTGTAGTAGTAATAACAACTTAAAATGTATTTAAAATACGAAACTTATAATTTGTTCAGTGGTACCGCTAGTCATAATGATAGACTAAACATAATAGACGAAACATCGAAAATATTCAACACGTTGATGTAGAATTGTAGATTGACTAAAATTGCTTTTAAAGCGATTATTGTAGTTGTATTACGCCTATTGTGAAAATTAAAAACACTAACACAATTAAAGGCTTCTGTTTTCGTGAAATAGTATTTAAACAAAGTGCTACGATAGTCAAAAAGAAAGAGAATATCTATATAAATTTAGAAGTATACTAACGTAACAGATCATTGAAATGAGATTCTTTCAAAAACGTTTTTATCTTTTATCTTTTTAAAAAGTATTTGAACTATAAAATCAAACAACAAGAAATTATTTTAACGCTAACATGTTTTGATTATTTTTCCCTATAATTGTATAATCATAAGTAATAACAACCAACAGTGTTAATGATAGCATTGTGATAATTACGTTTTATGGCCTTTCAGCGAACGTCATAGATATAACCACACTACGTCTGTCCGAGACGGTGATGCGCGGCCACGTGGGAATAAAACGGTAGTTATCCAGTCGACTACGGACGCGACACGTTCCTTTTGATTCATTTTATTTGCTTTTATTGTGAATGTTCTTACGTTTAATAAATATAAAATACTAAGGTCATTCACATATTAATATTTTTTATTTTCCATAAACCTAGTTTGTTTTAACATAAACAGCTTGGAGAGTTATTACTTTTATTTCTAACCTCAACATTCAAACGAATATAATTTTTTCAAAAATATTGACCAAATCTCTGAAATAAACATATAAAATATGTTAGTGAAAAGTAGTTTTCTTGATTAGTATACAAAAAATAATATTTCAAAAGTTTAAAAAGTTGTATATTTTTTTATATGCTTTATGCTTTCAAGTTATATTTGAAGAAGATAAAAATATATTTTATATTTAAGCCCAATATTATTGTTAAAATAATTTTTTTGTAGTTACGGTCACCAAAACTTAAACAGTCTTCGCTCAGAATAGTTTTTTGTCATTTAAAATGAATTATAAATTGTCATTAAATTAAACATTAATAAAATCCATTAATCATTATAGTGATTTACTCAATAACGAGTACAGCAGAGCTATCCTTACTTGTCTACCATTAAAAAAAAAAAATTAATATGTAAATCAATAAAAAATATGAATTTTGTAATTTAATAGGTGAGATACTCCGAACTAAATTTAATTATATCTGTTGAACATTGTAGTTAGTACTGAAAAAGTATGATTATTTCTTGCGTGGAAATCTGGAATTTTAAAATTTATTTTCTTTGAAAACTCTATACAGGATATTTTATCATTAACTTATTTGTGCAACACTACAAAAGCTATATGACTGAGCAGCCATCTAAAAGCCAATGATTCTAAACATAATTCTATGACTTTGATATCCAAAGAGTGCGTTTATTTGACCTATTACAATATTTATTTATTTATTTATTTATTTATTTATTTATTTATTGAAAAACGGGACGTGCCCAATTACATAGAATAGTAAACATAATACTAGGAGAAGGATACATAAATTACAAAACTATAAAAAAAAAAAATAAATGATATTAGATATAGAGCGAACTAACATAATAACTAAGAAAAATGTTACATAAAATACAAGTATAAATATTAAAATATAGAGCGAACAGACAATAATTAGTGCCAAGCACTCAGGAATAGTGGGTCCTCATATTATATTAATATCGATATAATTGTTATTATGTGTGAAATCACCGTTTAATGTTTATTACGAAATGATGTATAATCTTAGTCATGCACAACTAGCATAGGTGACTGGAAGAGGGGGGAAGTAGGAGAAGAAGTTTATATAATTTCTATAAAATATTCTTCAGTAGTGTTAAATAAGTATACAAATATGACGTGCATGCTTGTATTGTCACATGGGAAGGATACGACACTCAAATCTCATAACTTCCGATCATCGAGCGTGGGTGGTACTATTATCATTAATTTCGTTATGTTTTCGGTTTGCAGGCGTGAAGCAGAGCCCGATAAATGCCACACAAAATCAACGTGGGCCTCGTGGCACTGGCCGCTCTGGCGGCGGCCGTACTGGCCGACCCATCGGTTGATCGGCGCGCCAGCATGGGGTTCATGGGCATGCGGGGTAAAAAGGATCGCGACCAAGGTGGTGGCGGTAGTAGGTCTGACGAGACTTCCACCGCAGTCGATCTGGACAAACGAGCCATGGTGTTCCGACGCCCCATGTTCGACGGTGGAAGCAGGCCCGGGATGTACGGTTTGGCGGAGGGCTTCAAGCGGGCCAGTATGGGTTTCATGGGCATGCGTGGCAAAAAGGATTACTACAGCAACAACAAGGGTTCCGCGGCCGGGTTCTTCGGTATGCGCGGCAAAAAGGTTCCGTCCGCAGACGCGTTCTACGGCGTCCGCGGCAAGAAGTGGCTGGACCACGAGGACGCCGTTGACGAGGACGGCCAATTGTCCCCAATATACATCATGTACAGGATCATCGACGAACTGAAGTCTGAACTTTCGGACCGGGGTGAGCGTTTTGTTTTTCAATTATCCTGTGGTGGTGTATAGACAATATAGATTAAGTAATACCGTAAATTGACCAATGTTCCCAAACCGACAAAATATTATTATTAGTAACATATTTTATTAATAATTCACATTTTACATACAATCCAATATATTTTATATTCGATTAAATTACCTAACCTCAATAAATACACAAATTTAAGCTATTTACGTTTTACTAGTAATGTTGATATGATAAAAGCCTAATATATATCGATTAGACCGTCAAAATTTGTCACGGTTAATTATAAATTACAGAGATTATAATTTGATATAAGGTCAAAAAGGTTGAGCTAAATTGGTCTGGAAAAATAATGGTGACTGATGAGGTATTAATAGTACCTAGATCTTAATAATTTAGCACTGACAAAATCCATAAGTTTAAATTATTTTTATTTTGATCTATCAGTATCGTACTATATTATATAGATAAAATCCTTATAAACTTAAATCGTCGAGCTCAAAGGAATTTTTGAGGAATTTTTCACTTAATAACATACACAATATGCATGACAAAACACACTAATGACACATTTACAATTTAATTAACACGTGCACTTGACTCACGCATGTTCCAAAATAATATTTGGTCGTCTCCTATAGTTGAATGTATAAACTTAAAACCGTACGTTTCTAGATTGTTTAATAATTGGTAATAAAAACTAATTGGTGATCGATAAGTTCTCAACGTTTACGAAAATATAATAATGACGATCGTGTATGCGTTTTGTTTCAGAGCGAAATTTGATGGCAGTTAAATTCGACGAAGAAAGAGAAATGCGTTGAATTCGATTTTATTTTTTTTTAATAACAATACCGTAGCATGAAATTAATATCTACTATAAAACATGAGTTTTGCTATTTAAATTTGTTTAAGATGACTAATTTAGTAGTTAATATCTTTAACGTTAAAAAAAAAACATTCTATTAATTGTATAAAGGAACTACATAATAACTAATTTGTTTGTTTACATTATATTATTATATTAGATAATTATATTATATTATATTAAATTATATTGTTTACAACTATAATTCCGCGTTTTATTTTGTCCGTTTATTTTTTCATCTAAAAGAAAACACATATATTTTAAATTATTATGCGGAAAATAAATTCATTGATGTTAGTTACACCCGCTTTTGGTGAATCATTAATCTTTCTTAACATTCTTTTTTCTCGGCATTTTATTCACATATATACGTATTCGAATAAAAATACGACAATTAGTCACCACTTACCACTGATGAAGTTGGTAAAAATACTGATGGAAACAATTTTTACTTGAAAATAATAGCCGAAGATTGGGTGCTATAACAGTGCCCATAATATATTATGCATACTTAATACGTAGTGTTATACGTATCTACATGATTATTTGTACAAGTTTATGTAAAAAAAAAAATTAATTAATCGATATTTTGTATAATTAATTGATTTTCATTAAATTTTAGAACAAATTATAGGTTAGTTCATATTTATATAATTTAACACACAACTTGAATATTTTAGTTTGTGCTATTCACTACCTTATTCTTTATTAAAAAGGTATATCATGTATTACATATTTTTATATTTACAACAAGTGCACGCAAACTGGCTGTAGATTTTTATCAGACTTTTTTTTTTATACGTTAAGACATTGATCAACTAGATATTCAATTAAACATTGTCTAACCATTTCCTCGTTGGAATATCAATGTATACTATTAAAACGAAACAAATAATGATTTTTTAATCCCTTTAATAACAAAAAATATTAAACCCAAATAATATGTAACGCAAACACAATTTCACATCAGAAAGTAAATATGATTAAACTTGTACTATAATTAATTTAAAAATAAATACGCTAAAATCTTTTTAAATTGGACTAATACAATGTGCGTGACGAAATAAAATTTCCATTCCGATACTAAAACATAAAATATTACACTAAATTTTAATATTTTCAGTTTAGGTACAGGTTATCGCATATTTTTTTCCTAGTACATTGTATATTTTAAAGAAAAACAGGCGAGCATACAAATAAATTAAGTTGATAATAACCAAAAATAACTCTTTGAGTTAAAAAATAAAATTGTTGTCATCGTATAGCACTTGTTGGCTGTTCTACCTAATAAACATAAAACATAAAGTGCAATGAAATGATCAATTTTTTTTTTATAAAGCAATGGCGGCATTTAAATTTTTAATAAGAAAACCTAAGTATACACTTCCACTCCCCTTCAATAACACTCCTGGAGATAGGACAGTCTAATTATTAATACTAATTTAGTTTTAATATTGCATATTATTATACTCGTATGATACACAGTGATGCATACTAAGGCCAAACGCCTAAGCCCCAAGAGGAACAAATTTCTAAATCCTATATTTTATTTTTCCTCAAATATACGAGTACACCACCTACATATTGGTAAATTAAAATGTCTACAACAATACTTGATATATTGTTTTTCATTATTTTGACTTATGCTATGTATAATAAATGTATTAAAAAAGTACGTAATTAATTTTTATTAATGTACTATAATTTATCTTTTTATGTTTTATTTTAAGCTAAAATGTTTATCAATATTAAGTGAAGAGATAACGATAATATTGCAATATCGTAGTCTTTTCAATGACTATTGATGATAGTTAATGATTGTTAATAATATTTTTGGTTAAAAACGATAAAGACGTGTATTATAACACATAATAAATATATTTATACATTTATGGCGTCGATATACAACATTTTAAATAGTATAAACAAAAATACCGAAAATACTAAATTTTTAACATATTTTATTTCAAATAAAAATTCTAACAATCTTACGTATTTGTTTAAATAATGAAATTTTAAACAACAATGTTACCATAAATCCTATTGCCAAAATTTACGCGTGGATTTATTATTTATAGCCATGGCCTGAAACTAAAACTAAAAACGATGACACTAAAAAAAACACAGTGAATAAATCTACAAGAACGTATCGTCCAACGGTCAGTTTGACGTGAGTAAGTGTACATTATTAACACTATTGCATAGAATGAAGAAGAGTTCAACAGTGTCGGACTCATTAGTGCTAACTACTAACGAAACATGACCTACGGTATAGTTATTATTGTAGAAAAAAATATCAACAACAATAATACAATGAACTTCAGAAATAAACTTTATATTATAGAGATCGATAAATGACTATGGTATGAGATACTTTAATAATATTGGAGTAGGTTCTGTGGTTTCAATATAAAATTGTTAGATGTTATTGTGATACACCGCGTGTTTGGTCCTAATATCTCAATTTAAATATTACTATGCATTTTGTTTGTCATATTTTAAATAGTTTGTATAAAATGTAATATAAAAAAAAAACAAGCTTTAAGTTTTCACTTAAAAAAATTGTACATATTTTTTTAAAACAACAAAAATAAATTATTAAAAATGTTGCTCTTTTTTTCTAAAACTCTTTATAACAAACGAAAGAAAGCTATAGATCAAAAAAAATATATTTAATTTATTGAGAGTTACATCATAAAATTTATTTTTATGGTTTATAAATAATATTATGTAGATAATTTATTAACTATTAACATATTATGCAAGTATATGTATGACGGCGACTTATATAGGCAATCTCGATACTTTCACGGCATACAAAAACGGCACTTAGAAAAAAACATGTGAATATATAAATGCTACGAACCATGCTCCCAGATGAAATCAATATTATAATCATACATTACGAGGCAAAGTAAGTGAGTTAAAACTAAAAATTGTATATATTGCCTTAGTATAAGTAAACAAAAAAAAGTTGTTAATATGTATAATTGAATAAGTTAATTTGAACAGTAAATTATGCATTTAAAATCCAAAAAAATAAAATATAAATAACAGTATTATTATGGTTACAGTAAAAAATTTTACTGAAGTAATATAATTTTTCCTATGTCAATAAATTCTTCCAACAATATATTAATACCATATGAAGTTTATCGTTATTTAATCAGAACACGCATTTATTACGATTACATGCATACGATCGGTACATATTTTTTTTAAACATCAGAAACCGTTATAAATTTTAATTTGTTCAATCTGCATTATATGTTATAATCAAAATAAATATTCATGAATGAATGAAATTCGTTCAACTCGGATCTGAATCCACTTTAAATATTATAAAGGTGTAATTTGTTAAAATCACAGCTTTTGTTTATGATAAGCAACATTCGTGAAAAAAATTATAACAACTGCATTCAATAGGTAAACCACCAACAACTAGATCGTAGTGATGAATCCATATCAACGGTTGCACCTTGGAGACGAATAATCCATATTGAATATACGAGTAAGCGTGCAACGGGTACTGCTTTTATATTAGATTCCTATATAAGTGCGTTTGATCTACTGTATCTCTGAATATTATAACAAATTATATTATCTTAAAGTTAAAGAACTTTATTTTTCCGCTATAGTATAATTATCGGAAAATAACTACAGTATTATATTATCGTCGTCAATTCAAGAAGTTTCGACTATATTATAGTTTATTAATTTCATCATGACCTAAATCACCTAAATACTCTACATTCTAATTCGATAAAGACTAACGAGTTAGTTTTTCTTCAAAGTTGCCAAAACTCTTTATAAAAGATTCAATGTTCGTCTCCAAAGTCGCTGCAGTCCACTCGTGAAGGAACTAGCTGCCCTCTACATCTCTTGTGACCCTAAATCTAAAACGTAAGTGGTCTCGGGACCTATTAACTAACTGAAAACCAACACCCCCACACCGAAGTACTTTTGTTGAAAAGTTGCTTTATTCAAATTTATACTTAATACTTATACTTACAGTAAAAATATTTTTTATAGATCGAGTAATAAAAAAAAAAATTATAATTACCATCTAAGCAACCATTCCGACGTAACAATACACGCATTAAAAAATATATAATTAGCAGTCTTGGCCTAAGTATTCGGCATATTATTATTTCGTTAAGTTTTTGAATATCGATGTTTAACCAACAATTTAACTTCTAAAGTACACAATTGTTAGGGAAAGTACAAGCGCTGATGAAATATTATAAACAAATATTAATAAAATATTTTCTGTTTGCTAGTAGATTTCTTCCCATCATCTGGTGATCTTTCGATCTTATATATTATACACTCATCATCAATCACCGTAATTTAAGTAGGTACTTTCTGTCAGTGGAGGTCGATCAGAGATATAAAAATAACCTCTTTCACAGTAGAAAACGTGTTTGAAATATTAATTTCGCTATTTTTATTTTTGTTCCAACAGCGATCGCGTCGAGTACCTAAATATTTTAATTGAACATAAAACTGTAAAATATAGCGTTATACTTACGTGTTACGTAGTTATAATACGCCATAAAGCCAATAATCGCAAAACTGAATGATTTATACTCGTTCGATGTAAGTAATATTTGATTGTTTTTATTGTGTTATGTACACCATTCATATTTATATCATTACGTGTGTGTTCGTTCGAAAATACTTCTAATTTCATTTATTTTACGATACAGTTTTCAATGTACGTGTAATCACGTAATCGCGCAAGTTCCTACCTATATAAAATTTATGTTTGTATGAATGACCGTAGACACAAAATATCAATATACCGAAAAAACTCTGTCAAATTATATCCGTACGGTTCTAGTCTTTTACTCCATCTCTATATCATAGTAAGTAGTAACTATATAAGATTCGATACACGACTATTTAAACTTAATATGCCCTAATCAGAGTGAACTTTCAAAAATTGTATTATATGGAGGTTTTAATATATAAAATATAGGAGCCATACTATGGCCAACACTCACTCTTATTTTTGTTATTGTAAGTAAATTTTGTTTTTGTAAATGTGTTAGATAAATGTGATCATCATTCGCAATTTGGAAGACACTTTGCGGTATTTAATATATCGAA